TAATATTATGTGATTAGCAAATTGCAGAACAAAGTGCTGTCTGAGGTACAAAGATGAAGTTTGTCCAGACTAATGTTCATGAAGGAAGTGGCATTATTGCTTTAAACAACAGAAAGAAATTCTCCAGGTAAAGAAGGGAGGGAAGACGTTTTAGACATAGGCACTATGGGTCACCCTGTCTATATTTGGTATATTTGGGGAACAGAGCAATAAGTTTGATTGTAAAACACACACTGTGTGGAAGTTAGCAATGTGAAATGAAACTAAAGGCTGTGTAGTACAAGGTTGTAGAGTGCCTTGAACACAAGTAGGATTGTTAGTAGGGAATGTTGTTTATAGTGAGTAGGTTTTATTACTAGAAAAAGTGCTTTAAAATTGAAATTATGAAATCTGATTTTTACAGAAAACTGTTACAATACAGGGCTATATAATTGCTTTACACTTTTTGGAGGGGCTGTCTTATTGTTGAAAATTTGGTGGTTCAACATTTTTTAAAAAAAAAATTTGTTGGTTTTTTTTTTTGTTGAGGCAGTGGGGTTAAGTGCCTTGCCCAGGGTCACACAGCTAGTAAGTGTTAAACGTGTTCATGTAGCACCAGCGAAGCCAGAGCCAGGTCAACAATGTAACACTAAAAGAGCCAGTGATGGGGGGTGGTGAGGTGGGTGGGAAGAAGAGCATTGCAAAGTTCTGAACTGCCCTAGTCAGGCCAAAGAACCAAGGAACAGAGGGAATGGGACAGGACACCAGGAAAGCACACAGTGTATATGTTGGGGGGGAGGGAGGGCAGTGTGTAGCACTCAAATAAGCCTGAAAGAAAAAGTATTCAGTGGGAAGCCTTTTTTGACCACTCAAAAGCCAGCTGGGGCAAAGACCTGGGCTGGTGAACTATGTGCATTATCTAGCACGAGAAGATGCTGAGATGCTCTGAGATCCATCCTCCAAGGAAACCACAATCAGAGGGGAGAGAGTTATGTGTCTGAAGTGGGATTTGAACTCAGGTCCACCTGACTCTAAGGCCAGAGCTCTATGCACTGCACCACCTAGCTGCCCTGGTGGTTCAACATTTTATAGAAATGGCTATAAACTCCCTCCCATAAACATATCAGAATTTCTGTGTCATGAAAGTTCTCTTTTCAGAGTAACCACCTTGCTCAAAATGCTTTCCAACTTACTAATATGAGGAGTCAATTTGCCAGTCTCACTAGAAAACACATTCTTATCACATTATAATTACACTATTAAGCACCTCCCCATAATCCCATTCCTTTGTTCTTTTTTAAAAAATCATTTTGAGTTATCAACAATCACTTCCATGAGCTTTTGAGTTTTAAATTTTTCTCCCCCTCCTTCTCACCTTCCTCCCCAAGACGATGTGCAATCTGATATAGGCTATACATATACATTCCTATTAAACATTTTCACATTAGTGATGTTGTAAGTGAGAATTAGAACCAATAGGAAGAACCACCAGAAAGAGGAAACAAAACACAACAGAAGAAAGCAAATAGTATGTAACCCCCAATTGCATGTGCTGCTTGCTTTTGGTTTTAAGTAGATGCTTTTTATTATTTTTTTTAAAAGTTCAAACCATACTTGGTATATAGTTTTTGGCATAAAACAGTGTTGTATTTTGCCAAAGGCTTTTTCCGTTATCTGTTGAGATGATGATGTGGTTTGGGATGTTTGGGGTTTTAATATGGTTAATTCTGTTGATTGTTTTCCTAATGTTGAACCATCTTTTCATACCTGCTAAAAAATCCCACTTGATCATAGTGAATGATTTCTTAGATAAATTTCTGTGGCGTGTTTTCTGGGATTTTGTTTGTTAAGTTTTTGAGTTAATATTCATCAATGATATTGGTCTATTTTCTTTCTGTGTTTTATCTTTCCCTGGTTTAGGTATTGAGGCTATATTTGTCATAAAAGGGTTCTGGTGCTTTATCAATTTTTAAGAATAATTTGTGAAATATGGGTACTAACTATTCTTTAGATGTTTGATATAATTCTTTTGTGAATCCATTAGCACCAAGAGCTTTTTTTTAATTTAGTAGTTCCTTTACAGCTAGATCTATTTCCTCTTCTGGGATTGAGTTATTTAAGAACTTTATCTGGTCTTCTGTAGTTTGGATATTTTATACTTTGAAAGTATTCCTTTGTATCTTTTGTATTCTCAGATTTGTTAACATAACTCTGCATACTGTGTTCTGATTATTCTTTTTATTTCTTCTTGATTTTTTGTGATTATACCTTGCTCATTTGCTATTTTATTAATTTAATTTTTTTGATGACTTCTTTTTAATCAGATTATCTAACGGTTTATAATTTTAGTCTTTTCTAAGAACCAGCTTTTATTTTTATTTATCATCATTTCTGTTGGTTTTTTCATTTCCTATTTATTTCACTTCTAATTTCTAATATCTCCTCTTTGTGCTCATTTTAGGCTTGTTTTTATTTGTTGGGTTTCATTTTTTAAGAAATATTCAGTTCATTAATCTTTTCTTTTTTGTTTTGTTAATGTATGTTAAGAGATTGATTTTTTTCCCCTGAGGACTGCTTTAGCTACATCCCAGAATGATTTTCTTTTACTTGTTGTTTGATTTACTTATTTAGGATTTCATTGTTAAATCTCCATTTGGATCAGTATCTTTTGTGGTCCTTGAACCAATTATATTTTTATTTGCATTTTGGTCTATACTTGCTATTTCCACCTTTTTACATTTGTTTTCTGTTAGATTTATCCAAAATTGAGAGAGAGAGAGAGAGAGAGAGAAAGAGAGAGAGAGAGAGAGAGAGAGAGAGAGAGAGAGAGAGAGAGAGAGAGAGAGAGAGAGAGAGAGAGATTGGGAGATTGATTGAAATTGCCTGTCACTGTTATGTTATTGCAGACCTGCACGACTTGGTAATAGATAGGGGCCAAAATTAAAATAAGCTACCCCACATTTTTCATGGGCCACCTGAAATCCTTTGATGGCCTGCAGGTCTATGTTATTGTCTGTTCTTCCTGTAGTTCAGATATTTCCTCTATGAAGGTTGTTCTTTGATTTACTTGCTTTGTAAGGCATTTAGATCATGTACCTTTATTGCTGATACTGATTTGTTTTCTATGGTTCCTTTCAGCATAATATAGTTTCTTTGTTTATCCTTGTTTATCTTATTTTATTTTTTGCTTTGTAGCTATCATGATTGCAACCTGTATGCTTAGTAAATTTTTTCCATCTCAGTTTTATTTTGTGTATGTCTTTGTTTTTTAAATATGTTTGTTGTAAGCAACAAGTAGGGTTTTATTTTCTTATCTAGTTTGTCCCCTTTTTATTTTATTGGATTGGCTAATCCATTCACATTTAAAATTCTGATTTAGGTTTATATGTTCCTCCATCTGTCTCTAATTTTTTTTAATACAAGTTTTGATACAAGTCTTCACTTTCTGTCTACTTTAGATCCTCATTCTCTGATTCATGACTGTAATAATTATGTGATCTCTTTCTTTTCTCTGTATTCCTCATTCAGTCAAAGTTGCTTCGAAGGTATCCATCCTAGGCTCTCCACTTTAGTTGTTTCTGCCACTGCCTTGTAGAACTTGCCCTGGGGATTCCCCTTTTCCGTTGTGCCTCCCTTCTAGAACAATGTCAGATGTTGCAGGTGTCCGAAAAGATACTACTCCATGGTAAGAGCCCCTCCCTTACCATGGCCCTTACTGTGCAGCCCACCACTGATCTATAGTCCCCTCTGGTCACCTTTTGTTCCATATTTGCCTAGAAATCTCCCTGTCTCCATAATCTCCCACTCCTTCAGATGCCAGTTGCCCCCAGGAATTCCAACACCCCCCTCCCAATGTAAGATGAGTAACTTTTCAAGCGCCAAATCCCCTAGGCCATACCCATTATAAGGTTCCCATCTACCTTCACAGACCATGTCTCTTCACTCATAGGATTAGTGGAACCCCTTCCCGCTGTTGCGGGATGAGAGGTTGTGGCCCTTCAAAAACTGGAGTACACGATGGGTCATCTGGAATGAATTCACAGACTCAAGCATTCTTTAAGTCAGGGTGGCAAAGATTTATTGTTACGCTTTTCAGCAGGCAAGGATTCTTAAGGATCCTGCGATCTTAGATCTTAGAGTGGTACAGTTAAAGTTTATATAGGATAAAATACAATAAGACATGTGCCAAATATGCTAACTAGGTGATTCAGGGTGGGATTAGGGAGTGGTTAAGGAGTGGTCAGTTCTTAAAAGAACATGCACTTCTTGTACCTACTGCAAAGGCGTTTTACCCAGAATTCACTGGGAAAAGCCCACAAGGGGGCCACGTGGAGGTGTGGTTTTAGGCCTGCTACCTCACTAAGTCAACCAGAGTTCAGGGTAGCTGAGTTGTCCAGTCTGTCACCAATCAATGTCTTGTTTGACAAGATAGATGTAGGGAGTATACATATGTATATGAAGTAGGGTGGTAGTATAAATAGTCCAGTGGGTAAGAATGTCTTTATGACCCAGTGCAAAGCCAGTTCAAACTCATAATTCCTTCAGGTGCTGTTTGTAACTGCACCAAGGAAAGAGATAAGGGTCTTGCTGGGGCCCACTCATGAGTAATTGCTAAGCACAGTGTCCTTGGGCTGGGGAGAAACTGTTAGGGATAGTGTTTCTGAGGCTAGGGAGAAATTGGGGTCCAAGTACAAGCACCCAAACATAAGCACCCACACACCCCATCACCACCACCAAAATAATACCTTCTCTCTTTCTCCTGTTCAGTCTTTCCCCTCCTTGTCACCTACTCCCCTGTAGAATTTTCTCTTTCTGAGATTATAGAGGTCACCTTCTCCTCAGTACCAGCCTTTGGTTTAATCCTAGCACATCACACACTCCTCTTTATCCCTCTGTTCCCCTCGCCCTTCCATATACTCTCCCATATTTTAATATAGTACCACAAAAAAAAAATTCACCTTTAGGCAGAGTTGTCGACAGGTTCTGTCCGTAGTTCCCCTTATTTGCTTCATTACTCTTACCTCAAACAGATTTCTGCTTTCATTCTATGTGTACATTTTGAAAGAAGCCTATTACTGTTCTCTCTCTGCTGTCGTTCTGTTGCTGTCCTTGGCTGCTGGATTTATTAATTCTTTCTGCCTTTCTGTTATTTGGGATGTTGGAGGAGCAAATAATTTTTTCAGTTCTGGTTTTTCTTTTTAAAAATGTTTCAAATGTCCTCTTTATTATTGAACATCCATCTTTTTTCATGCATGGTTAATCTCAGTTTTACAGAGTAGGTTACCCTGGGCTTGCATCTTGAGCTTCTTTGCTCTTTGCTATACTTTCTATTATATTTGTTGGTGGGTGCAGAACAGTCTTGCCTTATTCAAATGTCTTTTTCTTTTTGTTTGAATGGCTTTCTTCTGATTGCTTGCTGAACTTATTTCTGAATTGAATTAACTTTAACCACTGTGTGTCTTGCAGTTTGCAGCTGTTTTTTTTTTCCTGGAAGCAATCTATAAATTCTTTTGATTGATATTTCATTTTCTGTGTTCAGAAGTTCTGGGCAGCTCTTTTCTATTTCCTTCATAATAGGATTAAGGTTTTTTGCCCTGTTGTGTTCTTCTGGGAGAGTTACGATTCTTAGATTGTTCTTTATATGTTCTGTCTTCTAGATCAGTATGTTTTGCTTGCAAAATGAGCATATTTCCTTTTAATGTTACTGTTTTTTGCTTCTCCAAGAGTCTTTCACTTCTGTGAATTTGCTTCCCAGTCTATTGTTCTCCTTTTTATTACTTTGCTTTTGTTACTTGCCATTGAAGATTCCAGTTTTTCTAATTCTACCAATTATTCTTCCTATGCAGGCCATTAATTATGTGTTCATAATTCTCATTTTCCTTTTGAAGCACTTGAGAACAAATCATGTTGTAGTTCTGTGTGTATCATATTCCATAGGAGTCCTCTATCTCCTTTGTTTTTCAGTATTTATTCGAAGATGTCTGTGATGCAGTTTGGGTTGCTGGGAACCCTGAAACATAAGGGTACAGGGCGAGTCTTCCTGGAAAGAATTTGAGTATTTGAGCCTTCTTTTAGTCATAGGTTTTAGGCTTTTTTTTTTAACCTTTGTTTGGATTCTGGGTGTCCTAGAACATGAAGACAGATGGATTTGCTTTATCTTTGTCATATGATTTCTCTTTTTGAAAGGTTTAAGAGTAAGGGGGAGTCGAATAAAATAACTATCCCATTTTGCTGCTCATGTGGCCTGGAAGTAAATGAATATCCTTTTAGAATTCTTTACTTTTATTGTAGTCCAATTGTTGCATCAGCTCATTCTTTGCCTTCTGTTCTAAGGCAATTTCATATGAATGAATACTTTTAATGTTACCTAAGGATCCTTACTCTGAAGGTAATTGGGACATGCTAAAAAGAAGGCAAATGTAGAAATTACAGCAATGGACTCAGACAATTGGAAAAGATATCAGTTCTTATACCAACTTTTTCTTTTACTTGATGTGTATATTGAAACAATAACATTTTTATGTAGTATAGCCAAAGAAGCATTGGAGTTGCCATCATAAGCTTTCTGGTCATTAGTGAGTAAATTTCTTTAAGCCTAAGCTTTTTTTTTTAATCTTTAATCTGTAAAACCAAAATAATACTTAGGACCATAGTGTTAAAGGAATAAGGGATCTTAGAGGCCACATAATCTAATTTCCTGTTCTTAGAAATGAGGAAATTAAGCCCCGATGATGTTAATAATCTGCCCAGGATCACAAAGATAAGTGACAGAGCAGGGATTCAAACCCAAGTATGTAGGGAGCTAGGTGATTCAGTGAATAGAGCTCTAGGTCTAGAGTCAGGAAGATCTGAGTTCAAATATGGCCTCAGACACCTAATAGTTGTGTGACCTTGAGAAGTCACTTAAACCTCTGTCTGTTTCAGTTTTTATCAATCAACTGTAAAATAGGGATAATAATAGTACCTCTCTCCTAGGAGTGTTGTGGGGGATCCAATGAAATATTTGTCAAGTGCATAAAACAGTGCCTGAGTAGGCACTTGGTAAATGCTTGTTTCCTTCCTTCCATCTGTTGAGGTCTAGAGGTTTAGGGGTGCTGGTAATGGGCCCAAGCCAAGACCTTTGGGCCTCACCCCAAAAAGAATTTGGGTCCCTTTTGTCTACGGCCCTAGAAAACCCTTAAACTTTCCTTGACCTCACGCTAGTCTCAAATGGTTGCCTGAGGCTATACTCCACTCAACTGGCCTTTCCTTATCTCTTGTTCTCTCCCTATCTCCCTTTGAAATCCTAAGGAAGAAAGCTAGTCTTTGATCCCACCTTTGATCTTATCAACCTCTTCCTTCCAGTTTTTTGTTCCATTGTCTATTCCCATTGTCTGTTCAACCTCCCAGACATTCCCATTGGAATTCTCCCTTCTGGATCTTTCTCCCAGCCCCTCCTCTGGTCTCCCAAAATTATTTGAGTGAGACATCCTGGCCCCCATGTTAACACTGAGAATTCCTCATGCCCTCCCGTCCTTGCGGGAGTTACTATGTTCAGATTCTTTAAGAGTCTGACCTGTATGGCCCACCTCTAATAAAATTTGTCTCTGGCTGAAAGAAGATTTAGGTCGAATTCATTTGGGCAGGGCCTGCGTGTTGTGTTGGGATCCCAGAACCCCAAGAATCTAGACTTCCTCACTGGGACCCCAAAATTAGAACATGCAGGTCTGCCCGAATGAATTTGACCAAAGCCTTCTTTCAGCCAAAGACAAGGTTTATTAGAACATCTGCCATATTGGCCAGACTTTTAATGAATCTAAGCATTTGTATCGCTAATGCAAGTGGGCCAGATCTTAAGAATCTGAGCCCTTGGCTAGACTCCTAAAGAATTTGAGCACCTTAATAGAGACAAGATGGACCTTATATACGGAAAGACTGGGAAGGATCCAGGAGTGGCCAGGTAGTTTGGGGTGACTGGAGAAGGGACCTCAGGAGGATCTGGATGGGAGTGTCCAGTAAGCTGGGGTGAACAGAACTCCAGGGACCTGTACCACATGGCCAAGGAAGAATGGAGTTGAGATAGGATTAAGGTGGGGAAGTTGCCAGAGGCAGTGGAGAGCTAACAGAACAGATTTGGAGGATTGGGCATTGCCATAATGAAAAGCCAGTAGATAGGCTTATATCCTCAGGTGAAAGCCAGAGATTTGGCCAGGTGTGGGAAAGTCCAGGGTTTCTCCTTTTTGGGGTCCAGATCCCAAAGGCATGGTGTTTTCCTTTTAGGGGTTCAGATCCCATCTCCATCACATCCAGCCCTCAGACTTGTCTTTTTATTCCTTCCACCGCACCACACTTCCTTCCCTACTTTGCAGGGTGGTTGTGAGCATCAAATAAGACAAAATATGTATGAAAATACTTTCGAACTATACAGCACTACTCACATTTAAGTTATTATTATGTGTCTTCACCTGTGAAAAATGAGAAGAATAATGTTAAACTTGTCTTATTCTTCTGGGAATATTGAACTTATACCTTCTTGGAATACTAGTGCTGTGGAAATATTGGATATTTCTTAAGCTTATTTAAAGATTTTATTTTGTGTTCAATAGTTACTAATCATGATATCATAGATTTAGTGTTGGAAGGAACCTAAGAGATCATTTAACTTAATCCTCTCATTTTACAGATAAGAAAACTAAAGCCCAGCAGATTAAGACACTTACCCACAGTCATAATCAGTTGCACTGCTGAGACTCAGGCACACACAGGTCCTTAGATGCCAGAACCACTGTACTTTTTTTTGGAACTTTTTGAACACTAAAGCAAAAATGACTAATACTGTTTCATGTTCAGTAAACATTATTTATTGATGCATTTTCATAAATTCAATTATGTTGTGAGGAAATTTTAAAATGTTTTTCTTATCTAGTTAGTGCAGTTTTATCCAGAAGGTTGATGAGACCCATATAAATATAGGCTTGATTAATCTTATCCTTTTGTTTATTTTTACTTCCATTTTATTTTATTATTTCCAATTAGATTTTCTGTTAGTCAGAATTTACATCATATAATCACATCTCTTAACAATCTGCATAATTTTTATATTTACTAGGTATTCTTATCCGTTCTTTGGAAGTGCTGCTCCTATCATGACTAATCCACCTGTAGAAGTTCGAAAAAATATGGAGGTTTTTCTTCCCCAGTCTTACTGTGCATTTGATTTTGCTACTTTGCCTCATCAGCTCCAAGATACCTTCTTGAGGTACTGTCTCTATGTATGATTAAATAATGAGGTTTCACAAATGTATTGCATATGAAAAATTATTGGTTTATATTCATATATAAAGGAAATTCCATAGGAAAGAACCAAAAGCATTTTGAACATTTTTTTTTATTTTGAACATTTTAAAAGACAAGATTTCCTTTAACATATGTGTAACAGTTGTGCTTCCAGTGTTCTATTTAAGGTTAAAGATGTTTTTAGTTTTTAATATCATTTCATTTGTCTGGATTTGGGTTGATGAACTAGCAGAAATAGAAAATTTGTGTGAGGAAGAACTGTTGAAAAACACTGTTGCTGACTTCTAATTTAATGTATATGTAGAGTTGAAAAGTTGAACAAAGATGAATTCCTGACTCTATTACTGATGAAATGCATGTATGCCCTTAGCATGTTATCCAACTTATCTACATGCCAGGTGTTACATCTGGAATATAGAGGAGGTGCCTCATGCCTAGACAACAGAAAAGTTGAAATTACCTATGGGAAGCATTCTTTGCTCAAAATAACTCCATTCAAATTTGCACACTTTGAAAAGAAGAATGGGAAAAATTAAAAATTAAACCCCTAACCAGAAATTAGAAAAACAAATTGTAAAAAATTTTTCTTTGAAGTATATAGATCTAGATAATAATAATTATTCATATTTGCTACATGTGCTTTTCACTCAAAATGATGATTGGGAAGACGTTGCAAGGAGTTCTGTCATCTCAATCTGAACCAAGGAAATGCAAAGTATTTAGTTCAGTGAAGTTAAATCTTTATCGTCTGTGATTTCAACTATGTTCTAGTAAAACATTTTCTCTTATCCATAGGTTACCACTGCTTGTTGAACTGTGGCATAAGGACAAAATGGCCAAAGACTTACTTCTAGGAATTGCAAGAATTCAACTTTCAAATGTCTTGTCTTTAGAAAAAACCCGATTTTTAGGTGCTCATGGTGAACAGTGTTGGCGACAAACTTACAGTGAAAAGGTTCCTTTTACAGCAGCACAAGGGTAATATCTTTATTTTATTATATTTCTATTTTAATGTAACCTTCCACTATCTTTGTTTATCTTGGCTACACAAAATAAAAAAAAAGTATTGTTAGCATAGTGCATAGTAATCTCTCATACTTTTTTTTGTATATTTTCTTCCTATTTCTCTCTTGTCTTGGGATTCAAATTCTTTGATAAAGTTAGAGTGATAGATTTAGAGATAAAGAGGATGTTAAAAATCATATGGTCAAAGCCCTCATTTTGCAGATATAGAAAGGTGAAGTGACTTGCCTAAAACACATAAGTAATAAGTGGTAGAGTTTTGATTTGAACCCACTTCCTTTGACTCCAAATCTGTTCTTTTGCCCTTAAAAGAAAAAAGGGCAGCTAGGTGGTGCAGTGGGTAGATCAGTAGGTCTGGAGTCAGTAAGACCTAAGTTCACATTCAGCCTCAGACACTTATTAGTTGTGTGACCATGGGTAAGTAAGTTAACCCTGTTTGCCTCAAGTTCCTCATCTGTAAAATGAGCTGGAGAAGGAAATGGCAAACCACTCCAGGATCTTTGCCCAGAAAACCCTAAGTGGGGTTATGAAGAGTCAGACATGACTGAAATGACTAAACAACAAAAAAAAGAAGAAAAATCTGTTAGTTTGATTTGGTAGAATTATAGACCTAGAACTGTAAGGAATCTCAAATATGACTAGTCCAACCCTCTGATTTTACAAATGGAGAAACTGGGGCCTAAGGAGGTAAACTTGTCAAAGGTCACATTGGTAGCAAGTTTATGTTATATATATAGCTTTTTTAATGTTTTATGTTCTAGCAGTAGTAGGACAATCATCTTTAAATACAAATTTTAATTAATATTAAATGTCTTTGCTTAAGATAAATGTTTTCCTGGCTTGTTAGTCCACAGCATGAAAATGTGCACCTCAGAGTAAACCCTGAATATAATACAAAGATGTTAAATACTAAGTGGTATTTACAAAAATGTA